ATTTGTGAACGAAGGCGATGAAAAACTAACTCGTAATCTTATCGAAGAGGATTCTAGTGAGCGTTTGTAAAATTTTATCGTATTACACAGTTAAGGTATTAGATCTGCTATAAACCCTTCCATTTCAAAAAATTATTTCTCAAATGATTAAGAATTTTGTGAAATAAAAATTACACAGGCCTATCAAGCGAGTGCTGAGCTTTCAGAAAATTGATGTCCGAGGAGTCAATTTTCACACCTAAGGTGTTATTTCCGATTTATATCGCAGGCTCAAAAATTCAATAATTCCGTATTTCTGGCTTTCTCTCGATAGCTAGGAATAAAAAATAAAATGGAACCGACTTATATTATAATTAGTTTGTTCATTTACCTTTAAATTCCCGGCAGTAGCCAGCAAATTTTTCCTGAGATGTAGAGGTGGAATTTTTTGGTAATGCCCTGTAACTTCAGGACGCCGCAAAAATTCCAAAATATTCCAGGAATTGCCGGGAATTTAATACATTTTTCCTTTACATTTTGTGAATAAACCAGGCAAGTTTAAGCGCGGTATTGTAAATAATCCTCATCTTTTTACATCGATTTGTTTTCAGTGCAGCCCAACACAATCGCAAAATTGCCCTTAATTCGCCCTTAATTTCCGTCACGCGCTGTTTTCTTCGTTACCATCTTGAATTCTTAAGAGTAAACTGCTCTTCTTAATGTTTGTTGAGACACTGACCCGATTGTAGCACGGAAAGTGGGGAGAAAATACAAAATCTTCGTTTGAACTCATTGCGTGACGTGCTCTCAATATGGCGTCGTAAACAATGTTTTAGCCTTAGCAACGTGCTGATTTGCACAATAGGTCATTTAACTGCGGCCTTATCTGTCATTGACCTTGCAAGGATCATGTATCTGATGTGTCTCTAGAAGGCTTTTTACAGCCATAGAAATGATTTAGAAAAATCAAAACAATCGTACTTAATTTGGAAAAGCAGAATGTAAGGGAATTTTACAGTAATTTGCCCTGGCTTACTTG